GCATTTTATTTTTCTTATCCAAGTATATCATAAGGATATGCGTCTGGTTTATTCTTCAATTGTCTTATGATGCAAGATTAATAGTTAATGATCATTAATGATTTTTGATTCTTCAGTGATGATGAATTCTACAACTGGACAAAGAAGAAACCTACTGTTGAGTAAGAAGAGAAAAGAGATTGGCATCAGAAACTGCATTAGAAAAGACAGATGTCATTAGGAAAGAAATTGAAGGCAAGAAAAAGAGATGCCATTAGGAAAGAAATTGAAGGCAAGAAAGAGTTGCTGTTGAGTAAGAAAAATAAATTGGCATCAGAAACTGCTTTAGAAACTGAAGCTGGAGATGCAATTGATTCTTACATGTCTGGGCTTTAATCCTATATAGGTGAGACATTTTTTAAATTTAAAAAAGATATACATTCTAACAAATTCTGCATATAAAAGATGCAGAATGCTGACGATGCAAAAAGTTGAACTCATTGTTCATTTCCAAATCATAGACTACATGTGTTGGTATGATCAGCATTGGTATTCTGGTACTTCATTTTTTTTCTTTTCTTTTTCTTAGGCTTCTTTTAGTTGCAACCTTTTGTTACATCCTTTTTCTTTTGAAAGCAAAACAAGACAAGAAGCCTTAGCTTACAAAATCAAAAAAAAACTTTTGGCAATTATAAATAAACATCTGAGTTCTATAGATAATAAGAAGGAAGAATTTACTTTTCTATGCAGCCACCATGTTTGAAGTTTTATTACATTTGAGCTATTTTCTCATCTTTAAATATGGTAATCTTTTTTTCTATTTGTTTTAACTTTCTTGGCAATCTAAAAAAGATAGTACATAGTGAAAAGTAAGTAGCAAAAATGGTTGATTTCCTATTTTCTTCTTCAGTGCTTGATAGGGCAGTGCAACTTGAGAAGGAACTGTCTGCCCTTCAGTTTGAGTTGGATCGGGTCTTGTACCTGTTGAAGATTGCTGATCCAACAGGAGAAGCTACTAAGAAAAGGGATACAAAGGCACAAGCTCCTGCACTGGACAAATCTAGGCCTCCTGCTGCTGCTGTCAGGAAGCAGTCTCCAAAGGAACCCAAATAAATTAGTGCATCTACAGAACCAGCAAATTCTCCCATGCAGAAAGAGGGTGATGCAGATGTCTCTATGGAATCAATCAAGAAACCAGAAGAGAATATTGTTAGTGATACAGCTGAGGGGCATGTAAGAGGATGCTATTGAAGAAGCAGAGGTTTGTATTATTTTTATCATAAGTGTAATGAGATTGAAATACTTTTTTTTGGCCATGAATCAGATTGAAATACTTAGAAACTAATATAATTAGCTTGGATGCAGTTTTGTATAGTTGTTTTGTGATCAACATTGATTCTATGCTCTTGGAGTATTTTTTTTTGTTTGTTGATTTTCTATGTGATTAAAACATATATATATATATATATATATATTAAAGAAAAAGACCTTAAAATTATCTCCAAAATTTGGATGAGTGCAATGCAACAATTGTTGTGCTTCTCTGAAGATCCACATCATCCCATCAGCTAGCAATCAAATCAATATAATGAATTTGGTGGCTTCATTCCTTGCTGGTTTTTTAGTGCTGATTGTTTATTTGAATGCCTTATTGATGCATATGAATTTAATTATAGGCTGTCTTATCATTCTCTGTTTTTTCTTTTTTAGGGGGGGTGTTTTAGAGCTAATCATTTTCACTTGATGGCCTCATATGTTGTACATTTCTGTGTTCAATCCCTAATTTCATATTGTTTTGATGTAAGGCTAACAGATAATTTTGTTAATTTCTTTTCTACTTACTGATGTCATTGGGATATTAGGATGATGCTGATGAAGTGACTTGGCAAATCTACAAAGGACAGCTTACGGAGAAGCAGGAAAAAACCCGTGATAGGATAATAAAAAGGACTGGAAAGGTAAGCCCTTTTCCTCATTTAGGCTCCTTGTTCTTGGTTGTCTAAACTTTGTTTCTAGGTCTTTAGCTTCGGCTTAGAGGTGTAACTTTCTCATCTTATCCAATCAGTGCTTGTTATGTATCATTTACTTTCTGGATATAGATTGCTCATATAAAGAAAGAGAGATGCAATATGAGCCAAAGACATTGCTCAAGGTGGGTTGACTCAGATTGCTAGGAGTGAACAAAGAATAACACAGATATGTTCAAAGTTATGTGGATAGGAGTGTGATGTATTTTCATTGGAGTATATGGTTTGATTCTTTGAGATTGAGCCAAAGGTTTGTTATTGGCCCTCTTCTTCCCTATGATTGTGAAAAGAAATTAAAGAAAATTATTGATGCACTATTTCTTACAATTTTGGTAGATAATGGAAGAGCTTAAAAACTTGGAAGAGACGCTAAATGAAAGTATTCTGAAAGCATAGGTGCATGTTGTGGAACGATATCTCTTGGAAAGCGGAAAGGAGGGCCAGAGGATGAAGATGAAAACTTTTCAAGGTAATTGTCGTTTTGGGAAATTCCTGGTGGATACAGAAATATTTGAAGATACTGCAAAACAAAAAAGAAATAAGGATTTTATGTTTGCCTCTGCTGCCAAAATTGTTGAAATGCGTGCAAACTTTTAGATACTCTTTTGCTTTAGTTACTTATCTAACATATATTTGTATAATTAGCAGTTATTGCATTTACCATTCTAAATTTTCTAAGCATTTTCTTTAACTTTCTTATCCAAGCATCGTAAGGATATGCATCTGGTTTATTCTTCAATTGTCTTATAAGGCAAGATTAATAGTTAATGATTATTAATGATTTTTGATTCTTCAGTGACGATGATGATGATGATGATGAATACTACGACTGGATAAAGAAGAAACCTACCGTGCTGAAAGTTGGTGAAACCCAGTCTATTGAAACTGCTGACGGTCTTCTTGATAAGGGAGATGCCATTAGGAAAGAAATTGAAGGCAAGAAAGAGTTGTTGTTGAGTGAGAAGAATAAAATGGCATCAGAAACTGCATTAGACACTGAAGCTGGAGATGCCCTTGATGCTTACATGTCTGGGCTTTCATCCCAGATAGGTGAAACATTTTTAAATTTAAAAAGATATATATTCCAACAAGTTCTGCAAAGAAAAGATGCAGAATGCTGATGATGCAAATAGTTGTACTCGTTGTTGGTTTTCAAATCATAGACTACATGTTTTGATATGATCAGCTTTGGTTGGTATTCTGGTACTTCGTTTCTTTCTTTTCTTTTTCTTAGGCTTCTTTTAGTTGCAACCTGTTGCTACTTCCTTTTTCCTTTGAAAGCAAAACAAGAAAAAGAAGCCGTAGCTTAGAAAATCAAAATTATTTTCCGGCAATTAATAAATAAACATGAGTTCTATAGTTACTAGGAAGAAGGCTATGTATACTGTTGCAAAGCCCAGTGGCTTGGTACTGTTGAGAAAAAGGAGATTAAAGAGTCGCAGCTAGTAATAGAAATGGATACAAATAAAGTTGATGAACTTGTTGATTACAAAGATAGGAAGAAAGTCCTTGGGAGTTTTGATGATACACAGGTTAAAGTAAAGGGCAGTCAGCAAAAGAAACTACTGCCTCTGGTCTGATTATAAGGAAACAAGAACAGATTGAGAAATCTGGTTTCAAGTTCTTCAAGGTCCTTATTATGCTTTCATATGTAAGCTTCTAAAGTATTTTTGGTAACTACATGAGCTTCTAAAGTCAGAACAAAATGACTATTAATAATTTTGAGAACACTTGGAAAGAGCATGAACAAATTGTTGTGAAAGCCCATTTACTACCAAGAAACCAAGGTACAAGATGAAGTAAGCAAGGTCAATAAAATTGGAAGAGCAATTCTTTCCATGGATCTGTGTTTAACTTGGCATGCACCGTAGTTGATTCTGGGATCATGAGCTTGCCTAAACCTTGAAATTTTGGGGTTAGTTGCTGGAGGTTGTCCTGATTGCACTTTCTGCACTCTTCACTGTTCACTAAGCGAAATTGCATGAGCTGGTGTTACTCATAGCTTCGCTCTTCCTCCAAACCTCAAAATGTGCCATCAGGAAGAAAAACACCTAGGCCTTTCAATTTTGCATTTTCTAGTTTAAATTTACCATATACATAATTAGTTTGGTAATGCAAAACCTCCAGTAATAAGCAGAACACTTTTCTGGTTAAGAAATAGAAGCTACTCATAAAATGCAGCCTCATTTTCTTTGAGCTACACAAGAAAGGGTAGAGGTAACTTTCTCAAAGGTATTTTCTCGAGTTTTTTAACAGTGAGACTTTTCTTTATTTGTAAGTCTCAACACTACTGATTGAAATCCTATCAACGAGAGAGGAGAAGAAGAAGAAGAAGAAAACACTACTGAGACATAACACACAGAACACCTAATTGGGATGACTATATGTCTGTGCACTGCAAAATCTGACAACAGGGTGGGATGACCATTAACTGCTGCCTATTCAATAAGCTGTGTGAACGTTGCTCATTATATTAATTACCATGTTGCAATGCTTTGTCTCTAAACTTCTGCAAACTAAGTTGTCTTATTCTTTAGCATGCAGCTTACTACATGAAAAAGCTCAAAAGCCAGAACTTACCAATAGAGGCAAAAATAATGTTAGTTTGACAGATAATTCCATGTCTGTCGCAATAATCAAGAAATAATATGATGTTGCTACGACTCTAGCTTTGTTCATGAAATAGCTAAAAGAAGTTATCAATAACATAATTATTCATTCATCATAAGGCACAGTGACCACAAACATTAGTTGAATAAAAAATTAGTATTACAGCAGAATGAAAAGTTGATTAGAATAGTACTAGAGTAATAACTAATCAATTGAAGCAGCCAAGCATCCTCCAACACTTGATGGTACCCTGCAGGCTATCGTTTTTGGATAATAATAATAATTCAATCATCTAAAATTTCTAGGCACATTGCCTCAAGTTGTTCCATGGAAGGAAGACAACTATCGTCTTCATCATGTTGAAGAGATTTTATTGGAGATGGGTCATGGAAGGAGAAATGGATGGCTTAAAGGCATATCAGCAGTCCACCTTTTACTAGGATCCCTTTGAAGACACTTCATCAAGAAATCTTTCCCTGTGCTTGACATGGTTTTCAGTATTTTTGGCAGATATCTCAAAAATCCAATCTTGATGGCCAAATCCATTGGGTTCTGATCTTTCCATGATAGTTTTTCAGTAATGATCTCAAGAACAATGCACCCTATGGACCATATATCTAAGGCAGTATTGATGTGTCCATAAATAATAGATTCTGGTGACAAGTAAACTGCTGTACCTGGAAAAGTTGACACTCCAGGATCTGGCATATGATGTCTTTCTCTAGGTTGCCTAACCTGGCCAAAATCAATAATCTTCAGTCTGCAAATGGAACCATTTTGATAAGAAGGAAAAACAAGGATATATTCTGGGTTTGGATCACAATGAACAAAGCCTCTATGATGAATATCCCGAACCCCTTCAAGCAGCATTCTTTTGTAGCACTTGGCATCACCTCATGCCCCATATTTCTTGATCATCAAGTCCAAAAGACTACCGCCAGGTGCGTATTCAAGAAACAAGTTATAAATCAGCATCACTTGATCGATGGTCACCATATCACCATAACATTGAACAATGTTACCACAACCAACAAACCGTTTAAAGATTTGAAGTGAACTAAAATCTTTGTAAGGACAAGTTTTCACAGCAAAAACTTGATCATCAGAAACAGAGTTTGTGGGTTTCACCAAGTGAACAACTCCATAGGAACCTGACCAAGAGTCTTAAGTTTGACCCACTCCATAGTTAAACGATTCCTTGATACTCTTTTTACTATAGGAAAATCATCCATTGTTTTTTAGGAAAGTAAAATCAATCGAATAAACGAAGGAAGGGTTTAACAAACCCCTTTTTTTGGTAACTTTAGGCTAATTTTGTTTCAGCTTCAAGATATATGTATAAATATGGGGAACAAGTAATAGTTTAACTCGGTTTTTCACTTCTAATTGTAGTTAGATTTGATAATTAAAATTTGTGTTAATGTCAATTTTTCATTGGCCAATTCATTACGAATTGGCGGTTTAATTACTCTTTGCTGAACTTCTCAACTATCCTGAGCCAAGGTGTTTGGTGTCTATGATAAAATTGGTCCTGGTTTCCGTTTTTAGTTTTTACTATTTACTTTTATTAATACAGTAAAAAAAAACACAAATAAAAAAGAGTTAATTACATCTTTTGCATTTGAACTTTGAAAATATTTACAAATTGTTATTTAAAAAAATAAAATATACAATTTGCACTCTAAATTTTCAAATAATGTATAATTTGCACAATTAACTTTTAAATTATATATCATATTAACTCGAACTCTAATTCCACTAACTATATCAATAAATACATCCGACATTTGACTAATACTATTAAATTATGTGTTCAGCACACATGTTATCAACTTTTTTTCTAATATAAAATAAAAATATATAATTACTTGAATTATAAAGTTGTATAAAATTGACCAATCATTTTTTGTCATGTGATATCACAAATAAAAGTTTTTACTAAATATTTAATATTTTTATTTAACGAATAACATGCGTGTAATAAAATTATACTAATTAGATACTATATAAACTAATTAAGTTAACAATATTAAAATTTGAATTAAAATAATAATACATTATTCAAAAGTTCATTATGTAAATTGTACTTTTTTATTTATTTAGATATTAATTTATATATTTTTCAAAATATAGATAAAAATGTACTTAACTCAGTAAAAAATAAGTAAAAACAAGAGACAAATAAAAAATAAAGGATAACTTAAAATAAGAGACCAATAACAAAATGTAAAAAGGAAAAGAATTAACTAAATGCAACGAATAATTTTACAAATTATCATTTAACTCATTAAGTGTTACTTTAATTGTTTACTAATTGTTACTTGACCTTTTAATTTTCTAAAATTTTTTATTTTGCAATTAAAATTTTCAAACTTTTCATTAAGTTCTTCAGTATTTTATTTATCAAAATAAAATTTAAATAGTACATTTTTATGTATTAAAATATACATTTTACATTAAGGGGAGAGATAAACTTATATTAGCATAAAATTTTTTAGTTTTACACTTTTTATTAATTATTAATTTCAATAGATTTAAGGAATGAAATAAAACTTTTTTTTTTTTTTTGGTTTGTCTCTCTCATCTCTTGTATTTATTAAAATCAACAGTTAGAAAAAGATGTAAAAATATATAAAACTCTTTTGGTGCTACTTAATCCCTCCCCTTACTCTAAATAATATTTTGATATAAATAATTTGACTTTTTCCATAAAAAAAATTAAACATTGTCTTCATTTCTCCTTGTTTGATTTTTTATGGATATAAATATAGCTATTCTATCAATTACAACTAAAAAATTAGAAAATACAATCCAAATTTCTTTGTAATGGAAAATGTACAAATCATTAAATTAAAAATATTGTTTCTTAAAATTATATTATTTTACATTTTTTTTTGTGGATATAACTTGAATAACATTAAATACAAAAATACAAGAGATTTTTTTGAAACAAAATTTAAACTAATTTATTTATTTTGAAATATATACATTATTAAATAATAGAAATATTAGTCATTTAGTTTTAACTTATATATCTTTCAAAAAAATCTTAACATAAGTTGTACTAATATATAAAACTTGTGAAGAAGTCAATGACACGAGTCAATTGGCATCAACTCAGTTGAGAAAAGCATGAAAAAACAAAGTAAATAATACTCACCTTATCCCATATTATTTGTCTATTAAGAATTTGCACAAATTTTAAGAAAGAAAATTTAAGTTCTTTTTTACCCTTTTCGTTTATTTTCAACACAGGTAAAATTTTGGCATTTGGCACCAATTACTTTCAAACAAAACTTTTTGCAAAGCTTTGGGCACATCACCAAACTAATAAAAATCATCATTTGCAAAGCTTTGGGCGCATCATCATTTTTCGTGGCAACCAAAAGCTTCTATTTTAGAACAAAAAAAAAAAACAAAGCAACATGTGATAGCCATCTTGTTCAAAATCTATAGTAGCCATCTTGTTCACACTTTATCTCTAATTATCAAAAGCACCATTTTTTAAAAAAAATTTAATCCTTATCTTTATCTTAAATGACACATGGATTCTTTGATATAAATAGACTTTGTTCCATCTAAATTTAAAAGAAATTAAAACAACCAACAACAACAACAAACCATTTATGAGATGTTGTTAAAGGAAAATAATAATGGAATGCTATAAAAAGGCTCTTTAACACTCTTGCTTCCATGTTTTTTGTTTTTTTAAGGACAATTGGTAGAATTTGGAAACAAGCAAAATGCTTTCTAGATAATGGATTAGCAGTTGATGTATCTTCTAGGCTTTTGGGAAATGTTAGATGTAAAAGAATTCAAATTGATCTAATTAAAGTATCTAAAGTTTCTTTGCATCACTGTACCAACATTCGATCATAGGCAAGGGTGTTGAATGTGCCAAAATCAACAATTCTAGGTGTACTAGAAAAGGATTTGTCAAATCACATTCAAGTGCATTGAAGTCATTCTTATTTGATGAAAATAGGAAGACAAGGCTACTATTTTGCTTATCAATGCTCAATCTTAACAACAGTGGAAATAATACACCTTTTAATAATATGTTTAATATTGTGCATATTGATGAAAAGTGGTTTTATATGTTTCAAGAATAAAAAAAGTATTATCTACTCCCTAAAGAAAATGAGCCTCTACGTCTTACAAAAGCAAGCAATTCATCACAAAAATTATGTTTTTAACTGTGGTAGCTCGGCCAAGATTTGATACAACTAATAATGTAGAATTTTCATGAAAAATTATTATTTTTCCTTTTGTATATAATGAGCTTGCTAAAAGAAATAGTAAGAATTGAATTGTAAAAACACTAGAAATGAAATTGATTTTGTTAGTGACAAAACATGTCACATGAGCTTGCTTGATCGAAAAGCTTCTACCAACAATTCAATCTAAATGGCTTTAACATGATGCAATAGAGACTATCTATATTCAATAAGATAATACAAAGCCACATATTGATCCTATAATGTTGAATTTTGGGAAGTTGCTACTAATGATGGTTTTGATATTCGACTATTATGCCAACCAACAAATAGTCCAAATTTGAATATTTTAGATCTTGGATTTTTTAGAGCTATTCAATCTTTTCAACACTAAAAAGCTCCTGATACAATTGATAAGCTAATCAAAGCTTTTGAAAAATCTTTTAATGAATTTTCAGAATATAGACTCAATAATATCTTTTAACTTTACAAGATTGTATGGTGGAACTTGTATAAGTTGATGGAGGAAACAACTACTAGTTGCTACATATGGGGAAAAATAGGTTGCAAATATATAGTAATTTGCCTTTAACTCTTTAATGTGATCATGAACTTATAAAAAAAGTATTGAATCGACTATAAGAATGAATGGAAAATTTATGAAAGTTATCTTAAACTTCATTTCAATCTTTGTTTTTTGGGTTATGTATAAAAGACCACAAGCATTTTGCTTTTCTTTTGTAATTGGTCATAATATTTGTATTAGAATTGTAATCAAAGTTTAAAAGACTTAGGTGCTTATAAACTTTTGTTGTTTATTACTTAAAGACCTTGGCATTTGTAAACTTTTGTTTTCCATAACTTAAAGAGTTTTTTTTTTTTTTTTTTAAGATTAAAGAAAAATCAAATGATTGTAAGTTAACTGTCTTTAAAGTCTTTTATGGATTTTAATGTACTTTTGTTTACTATTTTATTATTGGTTATTTGTTTTTCTAATTAATGATTGTCAATGAATTCAATTTATATTGCTTTAACATTTCTAATTTTTTTTTATATTTCTATGTGTTGCAATAAATAGGTTCCAAAAGTGGTGATGAGTTGAGAAGCTTAAAATACTATGTCACTAAAATGAAAGAGGGCCAGAAAGGCATTTATTACATTACTAGTGGAGCAAGAAGGTAGTAAAAACTCTCCATTCTTAGAGAAACTCAGGAAAAAGGGATATAAAGTTTTTTTCATGGCTAAAAAATGGCTATAAATAAAAATCACCAAAGATGAAAGTTAGACAAAATGCTTCCCTTGAAGCTACCAACCTATTTGTACATTTGCAAACATTGGCTTGGGTTCCTATTACAACATGTGCTGGCATGACCTTTTATGATGGTTAAGCATTCATTATCAATTAATGATAATCTTTTGATTAATTAGTTGTCTTATCTAGTTACAAGTTTTTCCTTTTTTAAGAGAATGTGTAATGATTTTTTTTGTGTTTAAGTATAATAATCTTGATATTTCAAAATTAATGCACTTCGTTGACTTACTAGTTTAGGATTTTGATAATTTCAGAAGCTAGTTTTATTGCTTAAATTGAACTAAAACAAAAGTATCCATTTGATGGAAAAGCTAGTTCTCTATTGTTGCTGTCATTGATTA